TCATGAAATCCATGAGGTCCGCCCACCCCAGAAGCAGTTTTCTGGTTTTCTTCTAATGGTTTCCCTAAAAAGATCCCATTTCCTGTACCAGTGCCAATGATTGATTTGTACTTCACACTCCATCTTTGATTTTTCTTATTTTAGTGGTTTTGGTAGCCTAATATTGCCCATTTTTGTTCATCACTCACTATGTTCAGACAGTGTTAGATGTCTGCTTCCAGTTTTTAAATAGAAGAACTAATAACTACCTAGTTTGAAAAGCTTTTTGGGATTATGGGTTTGGTTAATATCATCTAAAAACAATTTAAAAACTGTAGTAGAAGATTATAAATGACTTTTTATGTGATTGCGTTCCCTGGTGCTTTGAAATAAAAACAAAATGAAGAGTATAAAAACACTTGGTCAGAAAGGCTAATCCTGAGCTGATGCCATTTACATTTAGATTTAAATAAGTCAGCCTATTTATTCTATCAAACTCTGCTTCAGGTTTTAAATTGAGAATACATGGAAATTAAAAGTCCTTGTATGCTTAGACATATTTTGAAAAGTTATAAAGCCTAAATTCAGTTGACTTCTAAGAATAATAACTGATAAACAAGGAGTAAGGAAATGCAGTGATTTTTAATAAAATAGTTTTATTGCAACAGTTATTAATAATGTTCATCTAATACGTGGTGCAGGTTAAGTGAAGCAGGGTCCTTAGAGTGATAATGCAAAAGCTGTGCTTTTAAGAGTGTGAGATATGCAAACAAGCCACATACAAATAGTCCTAGAGTATGACCCCCCCACTTCTTATTGGTAATGGAGTAGAAAGCAGTATGTCATAGTGGAGAACTCTTCTACTAGAAATCCACACTTCAATTCACTTCAATTCCCAGATGGCCTGTGTGACCAGTAAAAAGTGTGTTTATCCAGTCATAACAAGAGAGGTTCAGATATGGCTGCAGGGACCTTCCCAAGGCTGACATTCTAGGCACTATGCTCTACAGTTCTCCCCATGACAGCTGGACCTCCACCCCTGACCCAGATGTATTCTAAGAGTGTTGCACCACCATGAGGCCTATCGAGATCCCTGGAACCAGCTCCTGGACAGGGTGTGGTTGGGGGGTTGTGCAAACTATGACGATGACATTAACCTGGTGGAGGGTGCAGTTGGGGGATGGGAGAGGGTGTGGGTGGGATCTTGACTTATTTTTCTCCCTTGGCTCAAGAGTTTGCCCACCCACAAGGGGAATGGCTAGTTCTGTTCTGACACATACGTATTTTTGTTTAGCAACTCAAAATTCTTCAGAAAGAGGGTATCCTCATTTACTGACATGTCTCTTAATTCTTGACCAGTCTATATGTTTTTAAATTAAAGATAAAGCTTAAGGAAGAACTGGATCCAGCACTTGAGTAATTGTTCCTAGTTATTTCAGTTCCCTTTTTGTTCTTTTTAAGGGCCTCTGCTCCTACAGCAACTGACTTTAATCTGCTGTAGGATTTTGAGTTGACCCCTTTCAAAAGCCTTCAAACCAGTATCTGAAAGCTGAGTGTTTCTCTTCTTCTCAAATCACCACCTTCTCTAGGAAAGTGATCGATTTAATCAAGCACGTATGATTTCATTTTTGTTAATTAGACATTTCCTGAGGGCTTCTGTGCTGGCCCTGCACTGTAGAGGCACCAAAGATGACTAGGCTGTGCACTGTTTGCTGGCAGCTCAAGCCCAGTAGAGTTTTCCAGTAAAGACAAAACTTGCCTGGAACCAGACGGCTGCCTAAGGGAAGCCTAGAGGCTGGAGAGAGTCCAGCCCTGACTGAGGGGAGCTGAGAGGTATAAGAAATATTTCAGCAAGTAAAAGGGAAGGAAAGCATTCTGGACAAGAGGTGTGAATATATGTGGGGTGCCTGGAGCACAGGCAGTGGCAGTGAGGCCAGAGACTCACAGCAAAATCCACACGGCTTCTGCCCCCCTAGAGAGTGAGCAACAGCATGGACAAGATGCCATCTCTTCATGGGTTTCAACATTGTAGGTCCTCTAGAAATAAATTTTCAGAGAAGTTGTGAATATCTTGACAGTAAAAGAATCCACCTATATTAGTTAAGAGTTCACCAGAGAAACAGAACTAATAGGAGATATACATGATATCTATTATAAGGAATTTTCTCATGTAATTATGGAAACTGAGAAGTCCCAAAACCTGTAGTTGGGGAGCTGGAGATTCAAGAGGACCAGTAGATAGTTCCAGTTCAAACACTGGCAGGCTTGAGATCCAAGAAGAGCTGATGTTTCAAATCTGGAGGCAGGAAAAGACTGATGTCACAGTTCAACAGTCAAACAGGAACAATTCCCTCTTACTCAGCCTTTTATTTTATTTATATTTTATTCAGACTTCAGCTTACTGGGGAGGCCCACCCACAATAGGGAGAGCAATCTGTTTTACTCATTCTACCAATTCAAATGTTAATTTCATCCAAAAGTACCCTCATAGACATACCTAGAATAATCACTGACCAAACACATGGACACCCTGTTGCCTGGTGCAGTTGACACATAAAATTAACCTTGTCTTGATTATAAAGCATCCAGGGATATTCTGTCAGCCTGATTACTAAATTGACAGCTCATGATGACTTGCTTTTTTGAAAGTCTCAACGCTATAGAAATTCTGGACAATCCCCATGTCATCGAGATATTGCCAAACTCTGTTTTGATAATATGCTGACATTGTTTTCAGAATTGATAGCTAACTCATTTTTATGATTCAGAATATATTTATATTTCTGGTGTTTAAATGTATATGCTAGAAAGCCAGCTCTCTTGGCTTCGAATCCCAGCCCTCCCTCTTATAAGCCATGTAACCTTGAGCATCTAGTTTGCATCCTCTGTGCCTCTGTATCTTCATTTGTAAACTGTGGGTGATAATAACACCAAACTCCTGATGGTTATGGAGATTAAATCAGTTAATACAGGTAAAGAAAGAGGCAGGTGATAGGGACATAGAATGTCTTTAAAAAATAGTTATTCCTGTAGCCACATACCTGTATTGAAGAATGCTGTTTCAGCCTTGGTGTAAAATCACTTAGGCATAGGTCCTTTTTGAGAAAAGTGTCCTTATCAAGAGCAGTAACATTGAATATACTCAATTAGCATACACTTTGGATAGACTAAAACCAAAACTTCAAATCCTTAGTTGGCTTGAGAATGACACCAGATTTAGAAAATGAGTTTGAGAAGATGAAATAGAAAGTAACACATTTATAGAATATGCACAGGCAGTGGAGCATTTGATTCACTTCACTACTTCTGTTCAGTTTAGTTTGTTATAGTCAGAGAAACTGTCCATATTTTAAATGGTTCTTTGGCATCTTAACATTAAAAATATTTGCAAACAAACCAACAGTGAGCGGGGTTGGAGAAATGCTGCGTGATCCTCCTTGTCAGGTTCTGAGCTGTCAGGAGTAACAGGCGGCCTGACTGGGCCTGGGCTGTCTGGGTTGAAGGCGCTTGCCCAACTGATGGAAGAGCAACCTTGGGTAAGTCACTTGGGCTCAGGGCTCCTGAGCCAGATGACAAAGCAGCCAAAATGTCCAACTTGTCTTCTCTGAGGGTGCCGTTTCTGATTTGGCCCAACAACCACATCATTCAGAAGTGATTTCATACCTGTTCAGATAAGTTTGTTCATGACATGAAATGTATTCGCAGGGTGATGTATGAGGAAATCCTCTGGTCCTTTGAACTTAACCTCATGACTGCTTCAGTGTCCTGGAGACATCTTTACCTGTACAGCTCATGCTTATGTGAATCTTCAGGGCCCCCACTTGCTGCAGACTACAGTTCAGAAGCTCTGTTGTGTGTCCCTTGTATTTGTACAACCCTCTGGCGTGCACAGCTTATAGGTGGTGGAATGTGATGTCTAGAACACAAGATCTTTTTCTTTTTGATTGGATATAAAGTACATCTGCATTACTGTGTACTTGCACCTTCATCAGTAACACTATTCTGTCTTGCAAAGTAATTTTTCGGATTTTCAAATTCCTGTGTCTGAAATTAGTTAGCCTGACAATGAAAGTACTTTCATCTCTTTGAAGCTGCCTGTATTAGTCCGTTTGATTATTTCCTAGGGAAAATTCTTCCTCTTACTAAAGAAGGAATGTTTTGCCCATTTATCAAGTGACTAAAGATAGCTGAGGATTAAGTTCGAATGGAGTGATTACTGCTTTCAAAAACCCAAACAGTAAGAAGTATGTTGTTGTGCCTTGAACTATTTGATAGTTCTGCAATTCTACTGCCCCGGGAATTTCCTCCCCGTTTTGTTCCCAACTTGTAAAGTTGGTATTAATTTCTATGCATTTGTAATACATTAATTCTGCTTTTGAACAACTTCAGAGAGAGAAATTTAATCATCGAGCCTGTATATTTTTGTTGTTATTCATTGTTACTTGTCATTTTAGCCATGGTTGTAGTGGTACATGCTCCTTTTGAATATTATTTTAAAGTTGAAATTTTTAATCATAAAGTTATTGTGATGAAGCCAATTTTAGTCCATGATGATGACCCTGCACTTTTTCATTTTTGAGAGCAAAACTCAGAATGCATTGAGCTGTGCCTTAGTGTATTTTCCATTATCCTTTCCTTTCAGAAATCATGCCATTCATTTAATACTTCATTACAGCCGAACTGCAATACGTATACATGGTACGCAAAATGAGCCATTTTGTTTTAAAACAGATTGCAGATGAAAGGAAACCATTCATTTCTTGCTGGCTTGCTGTAATTACTAGAGCACTAATTACTCCAAATCACTGACATAGAGGGTCAGGAAGGATGACAACAGAAACATCAAAGAAAAGACGTATCTCACTTGCTATGACAGATTTTCCATATTCCCAACCATGACACGTATTTTTTTTTATGGCTACTGTTTTCCAGTTTGATGGTGAAAACAAAACAAAACAGCAACAACTACAAATATGCACACAGTCCAGATCGCTGAATGTTTACTATTATTTCATTCGCAGTTTGACGGTGAGAACATGTATATGAGCATGACAGAGCCGAGCCAGGACTATGTGCCAGCCAGCCAGGTGGGTTAATTAATCTTCTCTGCCTTGTTTCAAATTGTAATTAAACAAATTCAAAGAGTCGCATTGCAAATGAGTAGCACTATCAGTAACTGCCGCAATCAGGAATAATCATAATTTATAAACAAAGCATTTAAGCCCTGTTTCCAGTTAATGAGATCGAGCTGATAAAACACCGGAGTTGGCATTTGTTGAAAGATACTACCTTGTTTCCTCTCCAGAATGGCAAGCAGCTGTTTTGCCAGCATGATCTTTCGTAAACAGTTGTTTTACCTTTAGGAAATAAAGTCTTTACAGGTGCAGCTTATTTGTGCTTCTGACTATAGACACGTTAATCATTAGGAGCTGCACGTGTCCCAGATAACTTTAATTATTGACTTTTGGGGCAGTGTTCAATAAAATGTTACATTTGCAACCAGAGCCCCATGGCCAGTGGGCACTGGATGACTGCTTTCCGAATCTCCTGGGTGGGTAGCTTTCAAGCCAAAATGCATGAGAGGATTGAAACATTTCAATGGCATGTTTGTATCCTCTTCAGTGGGAGTGGGTGACAAGGTATTTAATCCTGAGAAGTGACAACAAACGTCCAATGAAAAGGTAAATGGTTACATTTATCAAAGTAAATCCTTGGCCGTATTTTTGGATACATAAAAGACCAGGCCCTTTAGTCCAAGGAGTGCATTTAAAGCAAAATTATAACTGCCCCAGGTGCCAGCATAACATAATATGTAAGCAAAAGTAAATAGACGAATAAATGAAAGTGAGGGAAAGTTCATAAGAGCGTTTTTGTGGACTTGAACATCTTTTTTCTCTGGAACAGTGAACTTGGAGTTTCCTATGTCAGTAACTGTGGCATGAACTCTAACATAGGAGTTTTCAGTGCCTACATACCCACCCAGATAGATTTGATGACTGAGATGAGCAGGGGGACAGGGAACACAAATAAAACCTCTTTGTGTCTTCATGGTGCTTGCCAGTTTATTAAATCTAATGTACATGTTAGGGCTGCACTTTTTGGAGCTTTGAAATTTCTCTCAGAACAAAATATCTGGTGCTTAACTCAAAACAGAGGCAGTCCTGCCACTCCATGAACTCTGCATTTAGAAATCATTATGATCACTGCCTCTCCTGGCAGACATTCTGGAAACTGCACTATATTGTTCTGAAGAGAAGGTCATCATGAAGTTCAAAGATCCGGACTACATTTCCTTCAATTCAACTGAGTTGATCACTCTCAGAATACCTTTGGAAGGCTGAGCTTTACATTTAGAATTCTTACTTAACTGAATTCATTCAGCTAAGTGGCCTTCAAGATCCATATGTAGTTCTGAATAAGACTGTTTGATTAAAAAATGAAAAATGTTGCTATTAATTTTCTTCTAGCCATCAATCCCAAAACTGTACTGACAAGTTTAGTATTACTATTAGATTAAAGCAACCTGGTATCATCTCTTTGGAGCCTTTAGGGTTTTGAAGTGTAAGGGCTAATTGAATTTGTTTGAAACAGTAGAAACACAAACTCAATAAATGATTGCTGTTATAAAGCAGCTGCTTCCTTTCAGAGAATCATTATGTCTGTCTTAAAGACTTTTGGATAAAGGATTGGAAATTCAAAACATATACATCAGAACAACTTGGCTTCTTAGATTTTTAAATTCAAGTACAATGGGTCATATTAAGCCCTGACCAAAATCAAACAACCAACATTATTTTTCTTAATATTTCGGTCAGAAGTTACTAGGAATGCTTTCAATACCAGTGATAATATATGAAGGAGTAAAGAGCTCCAGATACTTTATGTAGTTTGTAAAGATAAGGCAGGTTTGTGTGCCAGAAGCAAACTATTTTTTTAATAATGCAGCACATATGAAAATGTTTTTAGAATGTGCTATTTTAAAAATTAAACTGATGCAAGATAATACATTCTCTGTGGGGAGGAATAAACTTTGCAAATTATGTAAGTTGAATGGCCTTAGCTAAATTTTACACTTAACATTCCTTTTGTTATATAGTGTATTCAAGAATTCACTACCTGGTATTCTTTCAGGAAATTTTAATTAATTTACCCCTTTCAGCAACCATATATAAAATTTTAGTCATCCTACAGGAAAAAAAATAGTTTCATTCCTTTTCCTATATAACATCAAACATCTGCATAGTTTAGTAATCCAAGACAACTTGCCTCATAGCATCACTCAACAATTATAATTCCTGTTCAATTTTCAAATCAGTACATGCTTTGGGACTTACAGACTAAGTTGCTAAGTAGCAACATATGCTACACTACTGCTCCTGTGATGTTGCTGCAAGCAAATAGCATAATTCTAAACTTGAAATGATTTTTATAGAAAGTCAATGCTGGAATGGCTCCAGAAATGGAAGTACACTATAAAAATTAATGATATTCTTTTAGACAGTCCCAAAGGGCTCTCTGGCACTATCTACTGCCTGCATTCTCTACTGCTTAAGCTAGTATTCAATTTTCAAATCAGTACATGCTTTGGGACTTACAGACTAAGTTGCTAAGTAGCAACATATGCTACACTACTGCTCCTGTGATGTTGCTGCAAGCAAATAGCATAATTCTAAACTTGAAATGATTTTTATAGAAAGTCAATGCTGGAATGGCTCCAGAAATGGAAGTACACTATAAAAATTAATGATATTCTTTTAGACAGTCCCAAAGGGCTCTCTGGCACTATCTACTGCCTGCATTCTCTACTGCTTAAGCTAGTTGTATACAAATCATTTAGAATTTCTTGCATATAATTTTGTAATTGATAGGCAGCATTTGAACTGAATATACCACCCCATAATAAGCCTGACAAGTATGTAATAAAAACCCATGACATTTCCACTTCTCCCTACCTCCATTCTTGGAATATTTACTATTTTCTCCTATATTAGCTATAAATGTGCTGACCTCTCAGTACTTAATTTAAACAACACTTAACTTTTTCTCAGTCTGTATAGAATTGGAACCACGTGCTGCAAGATTTCTTTGTGTGTTTCCATGCCCTGGCTAAGGGGGCATATGTTGCTTAATACCCCATGACCTTGCAGATTCCCTCCTAGAGAGTTCGTGGGACATTGTGAGTGGCTAATGAAAGGAAAGCCAGCTGGGAAGAGTGGCCAACAGCCCATCATAAAGTCACTGATTGCTCATCCTTCACTGTCATCTTTGATGGACGAATATGCCAGAGTACACAACAATAAGGCAGAATGGGATCGGGCTCTCCACCCGAGCTCTGACCCTTCTTCAGACTCTCCCAGGCCCACTCATAGTCACATGCTCTGAGGTCCCTGACTTTCCCTAGAAAACGCAAGCCACTTTTTCCAGCCCCTACAATTCCAGTCCCTTTTGTAGTCTTTATGTTATTGCACTCGAGATATTAATGTTCATCTGAATTAAATACATAAAAGGAAAGACAAGGAATCTGGTCATCTTGATCAGAACTTTCTATGGCACCAAGGTTATTTATTTAGTGTTAGTTCTGAGTATGTGCCATTACTCTTTCTTATTCTCTCTTATTTTCCTTGGCCACATGTTCATTCAGAGCTTTCCACCACACTGGCAACATGTTTCACCAGTTCTGTCCATGGGAACTCTCATGCATGCCTCAGTTAGGGTACTATATGAAGAAGGCTGAGAAGGCCTGGCCTTTTCTGTACAGGAAATAATCACTTGGTAGGGAGAATCAGAAGGTTTTTCTGTTGTCAGGTCATGTAAAGTTTGGTTATTTGATTGAACCACATTTTCAATAAAGTGCTTCCTCCTTGACCTTGGCCTTCACTCCGCTAACCCATTTCCATCTGTGTGGTTTCCATCCCTGCTCTCTTGCTGCCTCCACTCCTTTCCTCCTTTCCTGTTACTTCTCTTCTCCTCCTTCTTCCCATGAACAGTTACCCTTTAAGCATGAACTAATCTGTGTTTTTAATTCTGAGTGTAATAGTAAACCCTAGATATTAAACATCCTGACCTGAGATCCTAATTTGGTTTATGTTCAGGTTGTGACCAGGTTTCTCTCTGCTTCTTTCCTTGTCCCCCAATGGAATTGTCTCTTACCTGGTCCCTCAAAGCTCAAGATTAAAAAATAACAATGATAAAACAGAGCAATATAATTTTTTCCTAGATTCTTACAACTAAGCATTTGACATATATTTTGTACCATACATTTCAAATATAAAACTTGAAGAGCATCTGTAATCTAGGGCAGCTCTCTCATGTGAGTTTCAGGTTTGATTTCTAATTCCACTGGGCAGCTGTCCCTGACAGCAGCTTAGACTCAACATATCAATTCATCAAACTGAAATTCATCACCTGCAACCTACTCCCTCACTCCCTAAACACCTTTTTTTCCAATATTTCCCATTGTCATAAGTGTTACTACCACCTACCCAGTCACCCAAAACATGGACTTGGAGAGTCTCCCTTATCACTGAACCCTGAGTTAATGCCAGTTGGTGTTTATCCTATTTTTTTGCACAATTTCCAGTCTGTCTCCTCTTTTCCTCTACATAATCACTGCCTGAGTTCTAGGCTTCACAATTTCTCATCAGCTGTCTCATTTCCTCATCTCCATTTCTCCTCTCATTGTTGCTCAAGGATCTGTGCTTCTTCCCCTGTCCATGTACTTACACACCTCTTTGCCTCTCCAGTGTCTAGTCAGAGGATTTGCCCCTCTGAGGCATGTGCATCTTAGAATTGGTGCCTATTTCCTTGTCTTACTCACTGGATTGTGAGCTCTTAAAGGTAAGACTCCTGTTTCTCTCTTGGATCTGCTGAGGCTAGAATGATGTCTGACACATCGGTATGCAACATTATTTGTTAAAAGATGAGTAAATGAATTTAAATAGTTTGTGTACACATTTTCTTATCATGTTGATTCTTTGAGTCTTCTCCTGGCAACAGTTTTCCACTGTGCCTAGTGGACATCTAGGAAGTCCGGCCCTGTCCACTCCATTCTCGAAGCATGCTCCCATGATCCGCCTGAGTGTCGAAG